GCCCTTGCCAAGAAACACCCTGCTCGCCTCCAGGGTGCCGTGGGTTTCTTCGGTTTCGATGATTTTGCTATGGAAGCGTGCCGTCCCCACACCAAAAAGCGATGGACGTCCTGGGGTCTCAGGGTTTGGGTTTCTTGTGGAAGGTTTCTTGTGGTCGGGCCCCCACTGTAACTCACCCAGCGCGAAACTCAAACGCGGCCTCATCCGCCCTCCGCCTGTCCGTCCCCCACGGCCCCCCCCTCTTAATCAAACACCTCCTCGCTGTCCTCGTCCTCCTCGTCCTCGAACCCCGCCACTCCTCGTCCCCAACTTCCTCCTCGTTCTCGCCCGCCTCTTGCTTTGCCTCTTGGTCCTCGTCGCCCTTCCCCTGGGAATCACCAGGCCAGTTGCGAGACAGGTCTTCCCGGTCCTCCAGAAACGAAGAGCCGAAGAAGAGTGGAGGGGGAGGCAGGCAACAGCATACAGTCGGGGCGCTGCAGAAGGAACCCTTCTCGTTTGGGAGGGGCTCCGTGTTCCTTGAGTGTTTCACAGCTTGCCTCAGGTTTTCGATGGGGAATCGAAGTTTAACTGGTGGAAAAAAGGGGCCTCGTTCCTTATTTCTCGTTCCTTTGGTCAACGCCCCGATGGTAGGGAGAGAGGGAGGACACAGCAGAATCCCCATGAGTATCCCACCAGGAGGCCTCGGAGAGCCGGAGAAGGCCGGCGAGGGCTCGAGAGAGGGCCGCCGGAGCCGCCGCCCGGGAGCCAGGGAGAGTCGCGGCATAGGCGTGCGGGGGCCGCCGGACGCGTCGCAGGAGGGCGCGCGGAGGCCGAGGGCGGCCCGCCGAGAGGCCCGCAGGGCCGCCGGGGTATCCGAGCGCCCCTCGGAGAGGCGCCCCGAGCCTCCGAGCGCCGCGGGATCCCGCAGGAGGCACCCGAGGGTCTCCTCGTCCCGCTTCCCCCTCCCCTCTCCATCACCTCCGCCTCCTCCTCCTCGTCCGCCTGCTTCTCCTCCCCAGTGTTCTCCTCGTCCTCCTCCTCCTCCGCGTTCTTGCCCTGGTGGTCCTCGTCGTCCTCCCTCCTGCCAGTCCGCCTCCCTGCTCCTCCTCCTCCTCCTCCTCCTCTTCCGCTCCTTTTTCTCATAAATGACTCCTACCTGTCGCACCCCGAGGCTTGTCCGTAGGGCGGGCGCGGCGTTTCATCTGATAATTGCGCACCATGTATAATTTTTCAGCTGAAAGTGTGCGGATGGAGGGCGGGTCGTTTTCAAAACGTGGCTCTCGCGTTGGCGCCGTGCACGTTCGTTTAGAACCTTGCAGGAGTTTCACGGATGGAGCGGGCCGGTTTCGAAAGTAGTGCTCCGCGCACATTCGTCTTGACAGGTTGCAGTTCTTCACGGATGGAGGGCGAGGCATTCTCAAGATGTGGTTCTCAGTTGTAGCGCCGCGCACACTCGTCCGACGAGCTTTTTGCAAGAGCTCCACGGAGGAAGGGCGGGCCGCTTTCAGACGGAGGCTCTCGTCTCGGCGCCGCGCACGCTCGTCTTGAACGATTGCAGGAGCTTCACGCGTGCAGGGCGGGCCGTTTCCAGAATGCGGCTCTCGCCCTAGCGCCGCGCGCACTCGCTTCAACCCTTCGCAAAGAGTTGCACGGATGGAGGGCGGGTCGTCTTCCAAGCGTGGTTCTCGCCCCGGCGCCGCGCGCGCAGTCGTTTGAAATGTTTAGAGCAGCTTCACGGATTGTCATGCTTGACGTCCTAGAAGTGGTGTTTTTGGTACGATGTCGGATTGTCAGGGCGCATCAGTTGCGCTGATTCGCGGTGTTGAAGTCGCAGAATCTGTGCTCTGGCACGATTCAGGTCGCCAGTACGGAACAGTTACGTTGATTCGCGGCGTTGAAGTCCCAGGAACGGTGTTCTGGTACAGTTCAGGATGTTCAAACGGTCTTATTTCAACGGGGCAATTCCCTCAGTAAGAATAAATCCGTACAGTTATGAAGAGGGAACTTGGAGGGAGTGTTTATTCCAATATCGTTGATGAGTCTTTGGTTTATACTTGTCCTCCTCCTCCTCCTCCTTTCCTCCTACTCCTCCTCCTCCTCCTCCTCCTCCTCCTCCTCCTCCTCCTCCCCTTCCTCCTCTCTCTCCTCGGTCCGCCCTCCTGATGACCCTCCTCCTCTCCCTCCTCCTCGTGCTCTTCCCCGTCCTCGCCCTCCTTCTCCCACCCGTCCTCCGCCTCCTCGTCCTCCTGCTTGTTCACATCCTCCGCCACCTACTCCTTGTCCTCGTCGTCTTCGTCTTCTTCCTCCTCCTCCTCCTCCTCCTCCTCCTCCTCCTCCTCCTCGTCCGCCGCGTCCTCCTCCCATTCGTCAACAAATTCCAAGCCCACGTCGTGGCCACGAGCGTGTTACGGCTCACCCGTCGGTACACGCACCCTGCGTTACATCCCACCCAGCGCCTATCTCACCCTGTGCCTGACTCCACCGGTGCCTATTTCACCTATTGCCCACGTCCCCCAATGCTTGACTTACCTGGTGCCTGACTGACACGGTGCCTAACATGCCCGATGCCTAACCCACCTGGTGTTAACTCATCCAGTGTCCAATTCACCCGGTGCCCAAGTCACCCGGTGCCCAAGTCACCCGCTGTCGAATGAACCCAGCGCCGAGCTCACCAGGTGCCGATTTCACGGTGCCCAACTTACCAGGTGCCGAACGCACGCGCAGCCGGCGCCACCATCACCCGGCAGCTAACTCACCTGGCGCCTGATTCTTTCGGTGCCTACCTCACCCAGCGCCTAACTCGCCCGGCCTATTTCACAATGTGCCTAACTCACCCAGCCCAATTTGCCCGGTGCTTAACTCACCCGCCTTCTCTCATTTGGTGCTTAATTCACCCGCTTTACCTCACCCGGTCGCGATTCACCCGGTCCGCGGGTCGAGTGAATCGCAGCGGGTGTGTCGCCATCGGGTGGACCAGCCCGTTTCCCTTTTCGGAGTGGACGAGAAAGGGGGTGTGGGCAAGACAGGGCAGTGCGACAGGTAGTGCATAGAGGCCCGTCACCAGGCGCGTTCCCAACTATTTGCGATAAATGCATGGCCACTCTTGGCGCCATGGGGCGCAAGAAAAATCAGCACCCCCTTCCATCCTTCAGCATGTCGCATGTGAGGCCATCAATTTCGACCGGCAGGATGCCCCTGTCGCCAATCTGCAGGATTCTTATCGGGAAAACGCAGAGCTCGAGTACGCCGGAATTCGGGTTTGCCGACCTCTTGACGAGTTCGTCTTGGACTTTGACGGCCCAGTTTTCGTGGGATGTTTGCGGCGGGAGCTCGCGTCTAGTTTCAGACTGGGTCGCGTCATTCTCGTGGTGGGCTCGTCGTGCCGACCCGAGTCCCCCGAGCCCGAGTCTCACGTCTCCCCGATCTCATGCCTGGGAGAATCCACGCAGGAAGGTGTACACTGTTCTTCTCAGGATCAAGGCCAAAAGTACGGTGGCTGCGACGCACGCCGCGCGAGGCGGCTCACGGGCCAAAACGCTTACGGTTCGGGTGCACGCTGCGTTGATGTTTCCCTTCGCCATGCACTGCTAACTACGACTCTGGTTGCTACATGCCTGCTTCGCAGACCTGGCGTGCCACCCGCAGGCGCGCCACTGCTAGGAGGTGTAACCCTCACGCGGGCCCCGGGCATCAACTCGCCAGACGTCGCGCTTGGGACGATTCGTGGCAGCGTGGTGCGGCCTCTAAGCGCGGCGGGGGCATCGGCATTCCAGAGCAGGCGGTGCGTGGTGACTTTTGCCCCCATGGCACCAACGTGGTTCAGAGCGTGCATTACCTACCCCGCTTTCGCTTCCAGGCAAAACCAAGTCATACCATGTGCCTCCTCGTCAAGCGGCCTGACCAGTACAGGCCGTAGTTTGGCATCGCTTGGTATCTCTTGGAAGCGAGGGCGGTCAAAAAACGAGGTAGGTTAGTTTGCCCCCTAGAGCAGGCAGTGCGTGGTGACTTCTGCCCCCGTGGCGCACCAGCGTGGTGGGGATGCGGCCGACGGGTGCGCGCGGCGCCCGGGCGAGAGCTCTACGTTCCGAGAGGCAGCTGCCTGCCAGCCGTGCAACCGCCTGCGCGTCTGCAGGCGCAGGCTCGCGGCGCAGCGTCCGGGCGAGCATCGCCTTCTGACACGCGGAGCCCTCCCGCCGGTGCAGCGGCTGGAAAACGAACGTGCGCAGCAGTCAGTCAGTGAGCGAAGAACGGTATAACATAACATAGATTTTCCGCCGTCGGGGACACCTGCTCCTGGGCGGCTGGAAAGTTTATACCCCTACGGTGCCACCGTAAGGGTATAAATTTTCCAGCCGCCCTGGTACAGGCGCCCCCCGACAGCGAAACAGATTATTTTATACCGTTCTTCGCCCGTTTAGTCAGGCGAGAACTACACACTGAAGACGACCCGCCCTCAATCGCGTGGGCGCTGGCAAATTTGAAGGCGAATGTATGTGTGGCGTCGCTGCGAGAGGCACACCTGGAAAAAGACCCGCCCTCCATCCAGATAGCACTTGGCAGCCTTTACGAAGAATGTGCACCGCGCTGAGGCGATAGCACTTTTTTGGGAACGATTCGCCCGGTGCCCGTTTGGCTGGTGGAGGTCCCAAGCTTCTAGATCATCAGCGGTGAGCTTTTTTAGGCGCGGCGCACGGTGCACCCTACTGCCACCTGTGGTTGTGAGGCGCCGAGGAGTTGCTCATGAGGAAGGAGGATGGAGGCGGAAGAGGAAAGGAAGAGGGCCAAGAGCAGCAGCGGACGACCACGGTCCATCTTCAGCAAGAAGGCGGGCTGGGGTAGGCTTAAGTCGGGCACGTCCCTCCACAGGAGGAGTATTCAAGAATAGTCGAAATAGTCCTGGGACGATTTTTGATTATTAGCAAACTATTTTTGACATTTTTGTCTTGTTCGTCCCAAGCCCGCCTGTAGGAGGACATGCCCGACCTAAGGGTAGGCCAGGGGCGGGCTGGAACCCAGCGCAGGCGCAGCGGGACCTGCTGGTGCACGCCGTCTTCCAGGATGAGCGCGGGGGCATCCCGGTCCGTCCTGCTGAAGCGCTCCTTCTCTCCCTCGCCTCCTCTTTTTGACCCCTGCCTCCTTATTCTTCTCCTGTCCTTTGGCTCGTGCCGCCTGATTCGCCCGTCGTGCAGTCTATGCTGGATAAGACTCAAGCCTTCAGCGCAGAGGCGCAGGAGGCGAGGGAGAGGGAGAATGTTGCCACGAAAGCCTGTCAGCAGTACGACAAGAAGAAGCTGTTCGCGCCTTTTCTGAACGCTCATCGTGGGCGTGGCCGCTGGAAGCGAGGTGCCGCAAGAGAGGATCGCGGCGCAAAAGTACTGATGACACAGTGGTTCACATGACGAACCCAGCGGGTATGACCGATGTTGTGATTTCCTGTCGCGTGAAGCTCGATGGCAAGACCTACCAAGGTGGCGGTGTGGCAGAGGGGCAGTTCCAGATTGGCACCAGTGCCACCGCCAACCAGCTGGTGAAGGCCATCCATGTCACCTTGAAGGAGCAGGGCGGCGAGAGTCCGGTGGTGGGGGGGCTCCCCCGCGCGCTCGCCCGCCAGGCCTGGCGGGTGCCCGACCAGCCATTCTGCCACCGCTTTCCGCCTTTTCGTTCTCTCGTCCACCTCCCTTCGCCCACATCCTCGATTTCCTCATCCGCTCCTCCTCGAGCTCTGCCTCCTCCACCTGTGTCACCTACTTCCCCTTCCTTGTGCTGTTCCTCTCCCCCCCGTTCCGCCCCCCCGCGCGGGCGGGAGGGGCGCGCGCGGGCAGGGGTGGAGGAGGGCAGGACGGAGGCGGGAGATGGGAATGGAGGAAGCCGAGGAGAGATGCGAGGAGGATCTCCAGGAGGAGGGAGGAGGAGGACGGAGGGGGGAATCTCAGGGGGAAGGGGGGGGGGACCGAGGACGACCTGGATTATGCTGGATCATGCTGCCTGTGACCCCCGTGGACGGATGACACTACGAAAGCCTGCGTGATCGCCGTGAGGTGATCCTCACATGGAAGCCCCTGTTGTCGGGTGGTGGCCCTCCCACGAACGCGGCAGACCATTCTTGGGCGTTCTAGCTTGGGCCGCCTGGCAAGGGCCCTCGACCAAAGTCCTCCACATAGGCTTCGCGTTGGAAGCACGGCGCCTGCAGAATACGAAGATGTCCGAAACATGATGTTCGGCGGCGAGCCCAGGGGGGAAGTGAGAAGGGGCGGGCCTTCTCAGAAGGCTCGGAAGTCCCCCAGCCTTCTGAGAAGTTTTGTAAGCCTTCGGCGAAGACAACGAACACTTCTCAGAAGGCGCAAGGGCTTCAGAGAAGTCCCGCCGCCTTCTGAGAAGGCCTTCTCCTTCTCAGGTTTCCCCCTGTGCGCGCCGCCGAGACGTGGTGGTGTCCCAGCATCCGTGCTCAGAAGGAGCAGGAGGAGGAGGGCGGTAGAGCCTGCCTGGCCTGCCGTCCACCTTGGCGTCCTAGGGCAGGGAGGAGGAGAAGGAGGAGGATGAGGAGGAGGATGAGGAAGAGGATGAGAAGGAATAGAAAGAGGAGGAGGAGGAGAAGGAGGAGGAGGATGATGCTGAAGATGATGATGATGATGATGATGATGATGATGATGATGCTGATGCTGATGCTGATGCTGATGCTGTTGTTGATGATGATGATGATGATGATAGTGGTGGTGATCATGATGGATGATGGATGATGATGGTGATGATGCTGATTATGATGATTGATGATGATGCCGATGGTGATGATGATGATGATGATGATGCTGATGCTGATGATGGTGATGCTGATGATGATGATGCTAATGATGATGATGGGGATGGTGATAATGATGATGAACACGAAGATGAATATGATGATGAGCATGATGATGATGATGATGATGCTGATGATGATGATGCTGATGCTGGTGATGATGCTGATGATGATAATGATGCTGATGATGATGACGATGATGATGATGATGATGATGATGATGATGATGATGATGATGATGATGATGCTGATTATGCTGATGATGTTGATGATGTTGATGATGATGATGAGGATGATGATGATGATGATGATGATGATGATGATGCTGATGATGATGATGCTGATGATGATGATGATGATGATGATGATGATGATGATGATGATGATGATGATGATGATGATGATGATGATGATGATGATGATGATGATTGATGATGATGATGATGATGATGATGATGATGATGATGATGATGATGATGATGATGATGATGATGATGATGATGATGATGATGATGATGATGATGATGATGATGATGATGATGATGATGATGATGATGATGATGATGATGATGATGATGATGATGATGATGATGATGATGATGATGATTGATGAGATGATGATGATGATGAGGAGGAGGAGGAGGAGGAGGAGGAGGAGGAGGAGGAGGAGGAGGAGGAGGATGAGGATGATGATGCGGATGAGGGTGAGGAGGAGGAGGAGGATGAGGAAGAGGAGGTGGTGGTGACGGAGCGTTGTGGAGGAAGAGCGTGGCGCCGGAGCGGCTCTGGCCACCGCCGTCCCGCAGGTCTCTCTCTTCGTTTCCTCCCTTCGTGCTGTCGGCCCGTCTGTTCGTGGTCCCCTACGCCCTCTTCTTTCGGGCTCCCGTCCGTCTCTCCCCCCTTGTCCATCGCCGGCCCATTCAACTTCAACGGTGATCGGCCCATTTTCGGAATGGTCCCCGCCTGCAGTGCGGGACGGCACCTGCGGGAGGGGGCCAATGGTAGCACCCTTGGGGACCTCATGCCGTCAGGTTTCAGGACTCAGGACTCGGGGGAGGAGGAGGAGGAGGAGGAGGAGGAGGAGGAGAGTGGTGGAGGAGGAGGAGGAGGTAGGAGGAGGAGGAGGAGGAGGAGGAGGAGGAGGAGGAGA